ATGTAAAGTAATTTTGTTCATTCACAAGTATTTACTGTACGCAGTAATGTGGATATTGTTACGACTTCTCGTCTCCGCTAACTAAAATCCTACTGCAAATTCTGACGTATTTACACGACTCCAATATATCTCGAGTACAAACCTCAGAAGTGAAAGATTCGAAGACGACACGATTCAAAGTCAGATTTTTATGCTTTTTCAGCATATCAAAATATGCACCAAAACATCACCGACGTGCAATGCGGACCGTCAGCATCGCTACCTACGCATGGCGTTGTGTGTGGTCCATGATGGGTGAAACCGGGCGGGAATTTAATTGAAATCAATTGATAGCTTATTTTACGTGGCGAGACTCGGGTCATGAGGCCCGCTCATCCGTCTGACCACTCAAATTTTGCTACGCTCCATTCACTAACTAGCGGAGAGAAAGGTATTTCTTGGGCGACGAAACAGGCGATTTGAATTTCGCTCAGAGGATTATTTTAGCCTTGGTCTCTTACATGCAGTATATCTACTTACATGGGACAGCCGGCTTTACTTTTCCTCCGAACGAAGGATGTTCGCCCTTACAAATCCACTGCTTCGATCGGGTTTGAACCCGCGAACTTGGGTATAACAGTCCGATAAGCTAAACGTTACACCATCGCCGCCGAACGAGTGAGTACGGGCGAGATAGGACGAGCGGGTACGGGCGAGAACGAACGAGAGCGAGAGGAACGGACCATATAATAAGGGACAGACGGGCGTGGGCGGTAGGCCTTGGGCGGGCGCAGCAGGGACGCGAGAGATAACGCCTACTCCGCCGCGTCGACAGCGGCAGGCGGAAGTGAAGACAGCAGCAACAACAGCGCCCCCGCCCAAACACAGGTTCCTCCGCCCTGTGACGCCGAGTGACGCGAGAGACGAGCTGTCGGGGCCTCGGGGAACGTGTTCGCCGTCGCTATCGGGCGGAGGAGGAAGATGGGGGGAGGGGGTGGGAGGGGGGCGCGGAAACTCGCGTGACGGCGCCCGATGTACCGCGGAACTCTCCATTAACGCGGCCGTCCCGCGTTGGCAGAAACGATCCGGCAGGGTTTAAGCGAATGCAGAGCTGAATGCAACCTTCGGAACGGGGCACATTTCAACGACAAAACGGTCTTTAGAAAGAATGAGCTTATCAATAACCTCTACTCTGGTAGTATGTATGCTAGTACTCTGGCTCTTTTCTAAAGCCCCATGTTCAAGTGTACGTTTCTGGTGGGGGAGCGGTGGATTTTTTAAGGGAGGAAAACTCATAGAACCAATGTCAAGCTTGGCAGGTGAACTGTGGTAGGTGACCGGCAAAGTTAAATCCCTCCAGAAATTTCTCGTCCTACCGAGATCTAAAGGTCTTCCGATAAAACACGTCACATGTCAACCGAGGTCGAAATCTAAATCTGTCAGACTCAGAGAATTTTTTAGAATCACAAACTCTGGGTTAGTTGGTGGGGACGGAGCGTGACTTCTCGAAAGATAACCTACGCAACGTGTAAGGTTTCAAAGCAAGTTTGGCCGAAAATAAGGTACGGAACTGCGGCCAACGACCGCCTCGCCGCAAATTATCCCATACGACAAAATTCCCTCTTATTAAATGATACTATGTCAAAGAACACTTCAAATAAATGCAACATGTATCTCGCATAGCAACAATTGTTAGGAAACAAAGCACCAAAAATTATTTAAATAATCCTGTTTTCAAAATCTAGGCCTCTTCCACTTTTCTTTCTGCCCCATTAAATTTCCATCCCCGCTCCACCGAGTCAAGGTTCGCGTTCTGACGGGGAAGTATGGCCAACTGTTTGGTTATCTCCGATTTTCAGCAGCGTCAGCCTCCGAGATACGCGGTTCACGACGCGCCGCTCGCTCGAAAAAACAGCTGCAGTTGCAGAGGCAGACGCGGGAGCGGCGGCGGAGGCGAGGGAGCCGGTGTAGAGAGGGCGGGTGTAGAGAGGGCGGGTGTAGAGAGGGCGGGTGTAGAGAGGGCGGGTGTAGA